TGCAGAATGAGCTGTAGGATTTCATGCTATCAGTCATCAGGGAACGCATCCTGGAGGAGGTGAAGTCACCTCGATTCGTAGCAATCCAAGCAGATGAGACCGCAGACGTTTCCACACGGCAACCACGCTGTGCAAGAACGTTTCTTTGAATCCATCCCTGTCTTGGGTCCAACGTCCAGTTCGATTGCCAGTGCGATTTTAGAAAGACTAAGCAGTCTTTTTTTCTGAAAATGACGAAGGAAAACTTTTTAGCCGGTCGCCCAAACGCGCTAGCGTTCTTGACCAGATTGTTGAGCGAAAGCTGGCGAGAGCATCTTCCACAAGGTGGAACTAAAACAGCAGAATTGTGAACGCTGTCTATGAGAACCCAGATGACCTCATACAGTGTGTTGAATCAATCAGGACAACCAGCTCATTTGATAGCACTACAGTGAGGGAGGCTTTTTGAGGATGCTACAGGAATGATGACTTCCAATTTTTCCTTCAGCTGTTTCATCAAATCATGCCTCATGTTGACGTGTTGGTTACCAGCAGCTGCAGAAGAAGAATATTTCTGTCATCTTCAGAATATTTCTGTCCCGCACTAGTTTTCTTTTTGTGAAATGTACGAACGGGTACTCTTACTTTGGTATCGTGCGTCTTGTCAAGGATGTGAAACTCGCGGCCGGGTCACGGGCGCTGGCGCGATTGATGGACAACACAGGTAACTTGGGAGACGTGAAATGGAAGAGAAAAACGACAGATTGAGCCCCTAGCTAGAGCGGGAACAAGGTATTTTGTGTTTCGAGTTTGGTTTTGTAACTCTTTTTCTTTCTTTATAATGCATGTGTTTTTCTATATACATTCTAATTCACATTCAAAGCTACGATCAAAGCTAATTAGCTAGTTGAAACTGGTCTATTCCGCTCCATAGTAGTGCTAGCTAACGTGAATTAGGCTTTATACTGCTGTAGAAGCTGAAACTGTTCGGTTATGATTGTCTAGAATCACTCATATGTGTGAAATGCTGTATTGTTGATTTTGTTTTGTGGCATATTATGCAGGTTAAGCATAAGTTTGTGTATGGATAAGTAAAATGCGCTTCTATATGTATAGTTCTTAACTCATTTATTGCATATGAGCTAAGAGACTGCGTGAGCAAGCTAAAATATAGTCTTGTTTCTTTGTTACGGTATCAAATGTTCATATTCTCATTTTTACTGGAGAAATTGAACTGTATTTCATGTATTTCATGAAAATGAAAATGTTTTTCTGTTTTAGGTTTTATATAGCTCTTACGGTGTGTTTATGATATCACACGGTATTAAAATCTTCATAAACCATCAGTCGGCTTTACTACTTTCTGGCTGGGTGGCTACATGTATCAGTGAAATGAACTTTTTCTCCTAAATTCTAAATTATACTAGCCACTTATTTTTCTAGCCACCATTTTTGATCTCATACTTTTGTGTGTAATTAACCTTTGTGTAATATTTGTCTTGCTTAGTTAGATGCACGTGTACATCATAAAACATATTCATTTTGTATTTTTGCACTTCTATTTTTAATTCTCACGTCCTCACAGCACACACACTTGCACTTCAAATGCACAAAAACAAAATACAGATAGGAATTGTAGCTGTTGTCAATTACATTAACACTATTGGTCTGTCTTCCTTCAGGGACCAAGACCCATCTCATGAGAAGCAGCAAGTTGCAAAAGGGACCACAAGATCAAGGCGGTCCTTGGGAGAAGAAGAGAAACTGAGGCTGACTAAAGAGGTATAGGCATGTATTACTGACTATTTAAGAAGACCTACTCAAGTACTACCTGTCAAAACCCACTGTTGTAAAATCACCCTGTTCTTACATAGTGACATTCAGGAATGGATGGTAGTAGTAGTAATTTGGTAGTTTTCCACTACATCTATCTGGATCCATCATTCTCTCAATGATAGAGGAAGAAAATCTGTCAAAGTAAATCACAAACTGAGACCGTGTTTTTTTTTTTGTTTTTTGTTGTTTTTTGACAGGTCTGTGACACAATCCTGGTTCATGCTAAAGAAAGGTTCTCCTTCACTGACCACCTTGTCAGTGCCGCACTGCTAGAAGGAGAGATGTTTGAACAGCATTGGCATACATTCCCTGCTGAGGCTCTGACCACCACCGTCATGGAATACCCCATGCTGAATAAGGCAAAGCTCAAGACAGAGCTGTCGCTCATCTGTGAGAGTCCTGAATTCAAAGGCTGCTGTGGTGCACTGGCACTATACCAGGTTCTACTGAGGTACAACTTCCAGGAGACTTTTTCTGAGACCGTGGCTCTGTTGAACATCCTCATAACCACTCCCATGACAACGGCTGAAGCTAAAAGGTGTTTCTCAACCTTAAAAAGAATAAAGACATTCCTGTGAAATGCAATGGGACAGGAACGTCTGAATGCACTGGCCATGCTTTCAATGGAGAGAGAACTGGTCAGGAACATGCCTGACTTCAGATGGTAGTTGATCACTTTGCTGCTTTTAAAGAGAGATGAGGAAGATTTCAGTACACGTGACAAATGTAATTGGTGATTGCACTTATTGTATCTCCCCAGTTGTTTAATTGTTAGTGTTTTTATTCATTGCACATCAGCCCTAGTGCCACTGCCAGTCTTTATTCTAGAACTGCAGCACCTAAAATAAAATGCTCTCTGATGAAGACTGAATTAAAGAGTGTGAAAGATTCAATTTATTTGATTAATTGTAAATCTGGTTTCTCTCCATGTTCAAAGTTGTTTGTGAGGGCAAACTGAGAGATGACCACAGTTGATTGTTCAGTCATTGTAGAGCCTGTTTTATTCAATATGATATTTACAGTGAACTCCAGGATATATCAGTGCACAAATACTGCACAGTATATAATGTACAGAGAAATATTTATATATATTTATATTTCGATTGGTTAGCTAGCTGTTTTTTTATTTACTCGTTGAACAGGTCACCTTGGCTATCATCACAACAATTGTCCCCCCTGAGATACTTGGCAGGAGCCACCACTGGTGGTGGTGTGTTAGTGCTGCTGGAGTTTTTAAACACTGTGTCCACTCACTGTCCACTCTATTAGACACTCCTACCTTGTCAGTCCACCTTGTAGATGTAAAATCAGAGACAGTAGCTCATCTGCTGCTGCACAGTTTGTGTTAGTCATCCTCTAGTCCTTAATCAGTGGTCACAGGATGCTGCCCACAGGACGCTGTTGGCTGGATATTTTTGGTTGGTGTCTGTGATTGTAGAACTACAAAGTGCACCTATATGGTAAGTGGAGCTGATAAAATGGACAATGAGCGTAGAAACAAGGAGGTGGTCATAATGTTATGCTTGATCAGTGTATTTATTTATTAATTTAAGGGTGCAATGTGTAGCATTTAGTGACATCTAGTGGTGAGGTTGCAGATTGCAGCCAACTCAATACCCCTTCTTCACCTCTACCTTTTCAAGCATGCAGTAGAACCTGCGGTGGCTGTCAGGTTTTCTGCTGTCACCTGTTCCGAATTTCGATTTGCTTCTTCATGTTTTCGTTGCTTTGTGACAAGGATTCACCCTCCCTTGCATTTTCTTGAGCTGTGTTTGGTTTGTCCATTCTGGGCTACGATAGAAACATGATCGTGCAACATGGCAGCCTCTGTTGGATGAGGAACCGCTTCCTATGTAGATATGAAGGGTTCATTCAGAGCTAACAAAAACACAGTGATTTGTAATTACAGGTGATTATGCACTAATGAACAAATGGTTTGGTATACTATATTCCATCTCTGCTAATAGATCCCCCTAAATCTTACACACTGCACCTTTAAGTTAGCCTTTGGAAGCTAATTTTTCTGCTACTTGAGTCATTATTTCAGAGAAGTAAGAAGATAAGAGGTGGGTAGTAGGCCGAACTAGTTAAATTGCAGTTACTTGTGCTGAAGCACATATTTATTGGATTTGTACTTTCAAATGATATTTCATTTATTAAAATGAAAATGTACAGCTTTTTACTTGGTTACATTTTTGTTGATGGCAGGTGACCACATCTACACAGCCTCGGCCGTTCTAGCTTTACAATTTTATTTGAAACCATTAAAAGGAGAAAAGCAGAGCCTAATAAACTTAAGTTATTACACTGATAAATGCTAGACGCTAAGAACTTCCCCTGCAGTTGTATAAGTTACTCAGTACTTCAGAAGGTACACATTAATATACACTAATATTCATTAACACTTTTTGTTTTGTTTGTTATCTAAATATTACAAACTGTTCACCAGGTATACAAGGTATAGGTAGTTCTGAGCTGAATGAAATAATAAATAGTACCCTGTAAATATGTATTTACATAAGTTTTTCGTCAAGTTATCCGCCATGAGATTTGATCACCTCTTTTGAAATATGATGAAATCTGAATATTGATTTTATTATAACTTACTTAATGACGTTATACGGTCATTTTAGAATCTCATACGACTTTGTTCATCATTCTAGACAAAACTAACACTTTTTACAGTTTTTTACAGCATTTTACAGGTTTTCTACAGCATTGGACTAATATAAATCAATTTATACAGGACTAATATATACTATATATATAAATAATCTGCCACGAGATTGGTTTCATATTACTGAAAACATCACAAACTTCTGAACACTGGTGTATATCTGATCTGTAAATGTGCTGTACAGCTAATTTTTCATCATTTTCGTCATTATTTGGAGATCTGCGAATCTGCCTCCCTGAAATCGCGCAAGGATTAAACCATCTAATAGAGAGAGGTTACAAATATCGAGACACGACTAAACTAATTCAGAGGTCTATAACAACTTATTAACATATGTATACATAAAAACAACACTAAGTAGTGTTCATATTTGAGACAGAAACAGTACATAGTTTGCTGTTCTTTGTCCACAGATCACAGGCTCACTTGTCCAAGCATTGGTCTCTCCCAGAGTCATGTGACATGACATGAAATAAAATAGAGTGAATGCCAGAGCCCGTTTTCTGGCATGCACACTCAGCGGGACTGACTACAGAGAAGCAGCAGAAGAGAAGAAGTTTAACTTACTTTTTCTGTTAAATAATATATCACAATAATGAGCGGGCCTTTGTGCGGAGGGACCTCGGAGGTGCAGGAGGCAAACGATGAAGTTCAGAGAATCTGTGATGAGGTGAGATTTGGATCAGGGTGTGTACAGTGCAGCCTTGTAGTCTCTGGAGAAGAGCTGCTGATTCTGCGAATGAAACAATGAAGCACAGACTAGATGTGAGCTACCGCAGCCCAGTCCAGTGAATACAAAGGAAAGATTATCAGGTCAAAAACTCTTTAAAGTACACAGTTCTCTATAGAACTTTAGTGGAACTTGTTAGTGCATCTAGTATCTGTCAGCAGCAGAACACAGGAAAGTTTAGGTCTCAAAATTCCTGATAGGTGTGAGCAGTCTGTGAACTGCATCGGCACAAAAGACTGAAATTAATCCCAGAAAATGAATTAGTAACTAAATGTGAAGGACTGAAATGGAACTGAAAAAGTTACTGCCTGTACATTGTTGTGACTCAGCTGTAGTAACTCACTTTAACTCCCCTGAACTCCTTACCAAGCCATCATGGTGTTAGAACTTGTTGACAACTGCTCTGTGAAATGTGCAGTGCGGGGATTTTTTTTCTGTGCATCAAGAAACAGAGAGGCAAAATTGGCACAACCACCATGAAACAGATTAGATCTTTCTATTTAATGACAAACTAATCAAATGATTGTTGTTATTATTATTATTATGCTTCATTAATGAAAACAGGCCTTGTTCAATGCGTATGTAATGACTTGTTCTCCTTAAATAACATGCTAATCAGAATTATAACAACATACATTGAATATTTACCCCATTCTTATATTGATATCCAAGTACCTTGTTCATTAAAATAATATGGCACTTCTTAAAGGGGAACTACTACTACTACTACTACTACTACTACTACCACTACTACTACTACTAATAATAATAATAATAATAATAATAAAGAGCATAAGTCATATGATCACTGTTATTATTATTATTAGTAGTAGTAGTAGTAGTGCAAATAATTATGCATCTTAAAAGTACTAAGAGTATGAGTAGAAAATCACGAGACGTTTAAAATGTGACATATATCTGATCTGTATGTGTGATGTGCTGTTATTTTTCCATAACTGATTATTTGGAGATCTGGGGGCGGCAGGGCGGGGCAGGTCTCCATTCAAAATTATTTTAAATGGTACATTGGCACCAGTTATTACCCTCTACTGAAGCAGTATTTACCCCCTAAAAAATGAACAAATAATAATACATTTAGCAAAAAGAAACACACCTGGACCCCTTTGTACAAAATAGTACACCACGATTATACTACACTTACTGTACATGCTATGCTACATTCATTAGTGTAGTATTTTATCATATTGTGATCAATTGAAGCACAATATTTCACAGTACTTTTGCAGGAAGTCAGACTGCATCCCTGTCATGGTCATGGTCACATGGAGTGCAGTTAGATCCCATTGTTTTAAAGTAAATGTGTCCCAAAATCTGAAAATCAGTGTGTAACAATAATTGTCACTACTGAAATACATTTTATAAAAATATCTTTAGATTTTATATGAGTACAGCTGTTTAAAGCTGTGCAGTCTAGTCATGCACTGGCTAGTTTTGCTCAAAATCAGCTAAAATCATCACTACTGAAACATTTGATAAAGTTTCAGTAAAGTCATGGTTAGTTTGGAAGAGACAAAATGGATTGTTCAGTCATTTGTTTTAAAGAGGTGTGAGCTACAGCAAAGCAGAATAAATTGGTAACTAAATGGAGTAAAATAGAACTGAACTCTTAAATACAAATCTGTTCAAAATGATTTAATTGGGTTCTCCATTTATATTGTGCTTTATCCACAAAGAGACACAACTTTAACAGAAATCTTTTTTACTTACAGATGAAGCCTCACGCGGAGGAGAAGGCAGGTAAAACGTTTGAAGTTTTCACTGCCAAATCTTACAAGTCACAACTTGTAGCAGGGAAGAACTATTTCATCAAGGTATGACATGAACACAAACTCCATCCTAGTAAAATATGCTTGGAATTTAAAAATCTTTAAATAACCATGTGTCACAAATGTGTTCTTCTGTTTCAGGTCCATGTAGGCGGGGATGAGTTCGTGCACCTGCGTGTTTATAAGATGCTGCCTCACGCTGGTGAAAAACTGGAGTTGCACGGCCTGCAGACGTCTAAAGCCCACCATGACCCTATTGAATACTTCTGAATTCATTTCCCCTTAACAAACCGCAGTAACATATTAACACAGGCTGTGCCAAAGAGGGGCCCTGTGTGATACTGTAACCACCGCACATATAATCACAAAATGGCTGTTGTTTATTTTGTGTTTGTACAAGTTTTATGAACGGAAAAGAAATTTGAACAGCAGCTTTTGAACCAACAGAAAGAGCTGTATAAACAACAGTCCAAATTTTCATGCTGTTTTTGGTCTTATAATTTTTTTTTTCCACATAAATATTCTACCAGACTTAACACACTTTCTTATTAACAAATACTCGCAAAATGCTAAAATATGTTAATAGGGAAATGTGACACCTGCAATATGTAGAAATATTTTTGTAATCAGAAGAATTACAGTACTTGCAGTGAAATGACTATGGAAATAAACAAACACCACAACTTCTGAGTGTGCAATAAATAATATTGATAACTCTGCTGGGACTCGTTTTTCAAATGTGGTTGTACATTTGAAAGTAAAAGTGTTGTATAAAACATGTATTATAAGACATACATCAGCATCCACACGATCAAATACCTTTGTTACAGTGACTACTTGAAAACATAATAGTGGAATGCTGACTGTACTTCAATTGTGCAATTTTGAGGTATTTGTGTTTTTATGGCTACTTTCAAATGACATTTTTACACCTTTTTTTTAGGTGTATTTGTGAAGAATATCATCTACCTTTTTCCCAGTTCCACTGTAGTTCATTAAGTTCCTAATTCCTGTTTTTTTGGGTTTAATGTCATTCTGTTGTGTTGTTTCATCTTTTTTGGGTCCAAAGAAGAGACTTACAGCCCTAAACAAATTTCACTTCCTATGCTGATAGATGCTGGACATACTATCATGTCCCCTTCCAGTACCATGAAGTCAGTGCTTTAGGAGTTTTATATGTTTATTTATTTATTTATACATTTATTTATTATACTTAAAGGTGCAGTTTGTAATATTTAGTGACATCTAGTGGTGAGGTTGCAGATTGCAACAAACTCATTACCCCTCCCTCACCCCTACCTTTTCAACAGAACCTACAGTGGCTGTAAGGTTTTCTGCTGTTGCCTGTCCCAATTTTGATTTGCTCATTCATGTTTTAATTTCTTTGTTGACGAGGATTCGCCTTCCCTTGCTTTTTCTTGTGCTAAATAACTTCGATTTGTCAAAATTTGGATTCTCAAACTTCTCACAACACAAAATGGTTAGCCAGCACCGGCAGCCGCTTCAGAGTAAAAATGTGGAAGGCGCTCTCTAAAGCCAGCGTGTGGTTTGTCCGTTCTGGGCTATTATAGAAACATTGCGGCTTCTGTTTGAAGAGGAACCGCTCCCTATGTAGATAGGAAGCGTTCATTCAAAGCTAATTAAACACAACAATTTGTAGTTACAGGTGATTATACACTAATTAAAACATGGTTTGGTATAATATATTCCATATCTGTTAATAGATTCCCCTAAATCTTACACACTGCACCTTTAAGTTAATTTTACTGCTACTTGAGTCATTATTTCAGAGAAGTAAGAAGATTAGAGGTGGGTAGTTGGCCAAAGTAGTTAAATTTACTCAGTTACTTGTACTCAAGTACATATTTATTGGATTTGTACTTTCAAATGATAATACATTTATACAAATAAAAGTATCCAGCTTTTTACTCTGCTGCATTTTACAGCATGTGACCACGACTACACAGCCTCTGCCTTTCTAGCTTTACAGTTTTATTTTTGACCATTAAAAGGAGAAGAGAGGAGCCTAATAAACTTAAGTTATTACACTGATAAATGCTAGGTGCTAAGAAGTTCCCCTTCAGTTTTAAGAGTTACTCGATACTGCAGAAGGTTTTGATCTTCTACTTTTGTTTGCTTTTTTGTGGGGGTGGGGGGTACTTTTGATTAATCACAAGATTAGGCTATTCTAACCACCTATGAGCAAGATATTTACTCGAGGATGGTTGTATCTACTTTACACATTCCTGGTCAACCTAGACTCTAATATGTGTGTACATCTTTGGTAACTCGTATCATCCCAGTTCACCTCCACTCCAACGGCAATACAGCTTATTACCATATATAACTGAAGATAAGCGCAGCACGTGTTACTAAACACTTTTTTTTACATGTTACCAAACACCATAAGAAGCACATGGCTCCTCATTACGTCACTGCATTCAAGGTAAAGGACAGATGCCTAAAAACACTCAGTTTCCATTCAGTTTATAGCTCCTTTCTGTTGGATAATTATACTTAGAAGAAATTTAAGACTTTAAAAAGGAGTGGAGTTAATGTTACATGGCCTGCAGCAATTTAAGTTCCACTTCTACAGCTTAACATTTATGAGAGAAAATGCTACAAAAGTGACCATCCTTTAAACCTACAGATGACACACATGGCAAGGGAGAAAATCTAGAAGGTAGAAAGAGCAGAAAACAGAAAATGCATTAGTCTTTTTCTACTCACCTCCTTTCACTGGAGCTACAGATGAATACAGGTGTACAGGTGTTCACATAACATCCTCATTCACAGCCGCTCTCATAACAGATAATTACCACACATGACTGAAGATAAGCGCAACACACGTTACCAAACACATTACCAAACATTTGAAGAGTGCAATACACGGAAGGCCCCCAGGGTTCGAGGGAACAAGAGTGTAGAGTTTGCAGGGTGTCAGGTACCACTGTAGTGCAAACGTGACTGAAGTTCATGTAATAAAGGTGATATGAGCTCAAATAGAAAAAAACCTCGAAAAACTGCAGCTGGCTGAGGAGTAATTTCCAAAAAAAGGAAATTTCTTTTTAAAGTCATTCAGTTTTCTGCACAAAACGTGATGTATTGGTAACGTAAAGGTCTGTATTTTGCATGAATGGACTAAGAGTTCACCCACACAGTGAAAATGACACTAAGCAAATGAACAATAAATATGACATTTATTTATTTATTCATAGGTCAGGTGAGGGAAAACTGTAAGCGCTCTGAAATCCACAGCAAGTAGGGTTTGTTAAATGGGATGAATAACAGTGATGTGCCTGGGAAATCTGTACATTTGACCCACTCATTTCATAAACGGCCATGCATATCATTATATGGACCATTCTACCAAATGAGTTCGTTTTATATCATTTTTATATAATATAATATTTTATTAACATTTTTATTTACATATATTATTAACTTTTTAAGTCTTTTAAAGCGAAGTTGAAACACTTATACTTATCATTATATCACGTTTTTTTTTTATAAAAAAACTGTGTTTAGTTATGTTTGTGTTTATCGGATCACATGAACACCTTGATTCATTAATACACTCACAGAAGAATCTAAGGCTGAGCAGATACATAATTGAGTCATTTCTGTTATGCTCATAAAGCAGCTGTAATATCGATATCACAAAACCCAAATATCACAATAACGATTAATAAACAGTATGATTCCTTACACATTAGACACATTAGCTAGAATCCATAGTGTAAGTCTATTACTGCAACATAGAGAGTGGATTTTTTAGGTACAGTGTCAAGGCACAAAGTAAAATTCTGAAAGGTTTTGTACGTTTAGAAGGGACTTTTATTTTGACAGAAATCCGCGGCTGTTGTGCTTAAGCGTGGCTAGAATCGGAGAGAGAGAGAGAGAGAGAGAAAGAGAGAGAGAGAGAGAGAGAGAAAGAGAGAGAGAGAGAGAGAGAGACTAAATTACAGTTGTACAGTCTGATCACGGTGGTTATTATGCCTCTGCGCGGAGGAACCTCTGAGGAGAAGGAAGCGGATGATGCCGTTCAGAAGGCACAAAGTAAAATTCTGAAAGGTTTTGTACGTTTAGAAGGGACTTTTATTTTGACAGAAATCCGCGGCTGTTGTGCTTAAGCGTGGCTAGAATCGGAGAGAGAGAGAGAGAGAGAGAGAGAGAGAGAGAGAGAGAGAGAGAGAGAGAGAGACTAAATTACAGTTGTACAGTCTGATCACGGTGGTTATTATGCCTCTGCGCGGAGGAACCTCTGAGGAGAAGGAAGCGGATGATGCCGTTCAGAAGATCTGTGATGAGGTCAGTTTTGGATGAGGGCCTGCAAAGAGGAGGAAAACGCTGATTCATGAAAACTACTGAGAGCAAGAATGAAATAGCTAATAAATATCCTTACAGAACAGCAGTGGAGCTTTCTGAAGTCAACATCTACACAATTATTGACAAAAAGACATTATTGTGTTGTATTGATAACATTTTATTCATTTAATTGACACTGTACTAATAAAAGCTCAAGTTACAGTATAATATAATGTAATTTAATATGATAATATGTTCAGTACTTGTTAGACCACCTTTCATTTATTTAGTATCCAGTGAAAAAGGCCATTAAATAAAAGATGTGTAAGATGTGGTACACCACCAAAACTGTCCCAGTTTTATCTTCAGATAAACAGCACTCAAATCTTTGAGAGAGAGGAGAAAATCAAGCTCCACTCTTTCCTCAGATCTGAAATAATCCACAGCCATCCTTCCACTGTAGACAACTCAACACTGTGAGTCTGAAAGGATGTGTAGAAGCCCTTACTGAGAAACAGACACAAAAGAAGAACATTTGCAAATCAGACAAAGAAACTGCTGGTGTTCTCAGAACAATGTACTGACCACCCCAGAGTCCAGACTCCAACATCACTGAATGTGTTTGGGATTATTTGGATTGTAACAAGTGGAAAATGCCAACAACTTCTAAGACTGAACTTTGGAAGTGTGGAGAAAAACTGACAATAATGGAACCAGAAAATTGTGATATATTTAGTTGTTAGTGTAATTCTATATAATATGAATTTGTAGAGTTATGTTTTAATTGTGTACAGATGAGTTAAATGAGAAAACCATGCTCTCCAAGAATATTGTGCTTCAAAAAGTAATTATCTTTCTTTTTTAAAGATGAAACCTCATGTGGAGGAGAAGGCGGGTAAAACGTTTGACGTTTTCGTAGCAAAATCTTACAGGTCACAAGTTGTAGCAGGGAGGAACTATTTCATCAAGGTACGACATGAACACGCGTCTGTAATCTTTAAATAATGCAGAGTCTTCTGAAAAGTATCTATGACCGTTGTCATTGCATGTTTTCACAAATGTGTTCTCCTGTTTCAGGTCCATGTAGGTGGTGATGAGTTCGTGCACCTGCGTGTTTATAAGATGCTGCCTCACGCTGGTGAAAAACTGGAGTTGCACGGCCTGCAGACGCCTAAAGCCCACCATGACCCTATTGAATACTTCTGAACTCAATTTTCCCTTAACAAACCACACTAACATATTAACACAGGCTGTGCCAAAGAGGGACCCTGTTTTCACAAATGGACAAAAAGTGAGCTGAGACTTTTGAACAAAGACTTCTGAACTAACAAAAAGCTGATCAAAATGTCAGCCCATGTTTTCATGCTATTACATAAATACTCTACAGACTTTCACAGATACAGCTTAACCACAAATACGTGTTAAAGGACATATATGACATACGCAAAATGTGGATATATACTTGTGTTTATAATGAAATACATTAAATGAAATCAATGAAATTAGTCCTGCTCATGTGTTTTTGTTTTTTTGCAAAGTTGCTTTTACTAAACACAATATTTATTAAAAAATGCTTTTAGCTACTTTATCCACTTCTCGTAGTAACCATAGACTTACAGTCATATGCAAAAGTTTAGGTTGCCCTGTCAACTTCCATGTTTTGGTGATTTTCTAAGTAAAATTATGTTAATACATCCTCTACAGAGAACATACTTCTGCACATTTCAATGCACACACGCACACATTGTCTAAGCTGCCTATCCTTCTGGGTCGCACATTCTGTATTATGATTTTTTTCCAATACGTGAAAATTTTCTGCATAATTAAAAAAGAAGCTATTACATGAAATGGTTATGAATGTGCTGCCTGATGTTACTGAGACACTGTTTTACGATATATATATATATATATATATATATATATATATATATATATACAGTACCCACAAAAATTCTGAAGACACATGTAGGTTCACTGGTGGTTTTGAATAGTAAATAAACTGGTTATATTTGTGTTGTAGACATTATGACGTTCCTTTCACCACCACAGAGACCTAGAGTGAGAACTTGTTATTCTAGTTCACCTGCAGTACAGCTCATTACCATATATAACTGGAGATATGCGCACCACATGTTACCAAACACTAGAGGAAGCACGTGGCTTGTTACATCACTGCATTTATGGAAAATATGGAAACAGATGGCTTATAATCAAGGTAATGATTAAGAATGTAAAGATTCAGATTTAATAATTTGGTTTACTCCTACTAATTAATTAATAATCTGGTTTACTCCTACTAATTAATTCTTAAAACATCTTAAGACTGGGAAGGAAGCAGAGTTCATGTTGAATGGCCTGCAGTGACTTGAGTTCCGCTTCTATTCTTTGCCATTTATGAAAGAAAAGCAGGTACAATGACCAACATTTTAATCTACAAATGACCAGCACTGAAGGGTGGAAAATCTAGATGGTGGAAAGAGATGAAAAGACAATTCAGACTTTCTTTACTCACCTCCTTCCACTGGAGATGAATCCAGGTGTTCACATAACATTCCAATTCACAGCTGCTTATATAACACATAATTACCGCGTTTGACTGAAGATCAGCGCACCCACATTACCAAACCATGAAGAGGGTAATAAGCAGAAGGCCCCACAGGGTTCAAGGGAACAAGAGAGTAACGTGTGCAGGGAATTAGTTAATACTGTGGCGCTCGCAAACGTGAATGAAGTTCATGTAATGAAAGTGACGTAAGCTAAAATACAAGAAAGTGTGTCTGATAAATGGTTTTAAAAAGGCTTCTGTTCAATGTTGTTCTGGTTTTCTGCACAAACGGTCATTTTGTAGTTTGCCGAGACAAATTTTTCAGCCACACAATAAAAATGTCATTAAGCAAATTAACAATAAATATGACAATATTTTTGAAGTGGCAACAGAAAAATAATAAATAAACTTGGCTGAAATGTACAGTCATAAGTCTAAGCTCATGCAGACGGATGAGATGGTAATAAAGATGGTAATGAATTGAAGCAGACATGGCAGACTAGTGAAAATGCAAAAATGGGTAAAGCTGAGCTGCCCAGAATTGGAAGTATTGGAAGTGCTGCAGTACTTTAATCATATTGAAAGTGAAATTTCTTTCTCAATATATTTCCTATTTCGAGTCTAAATAAAGGCTGACTTACTACGTTCAATCCCACTGTAGTTTTCAATAGCGTATAAGCCAATGTTCCTGATTATAAATCTGGAAATGTGTAAATATTACTGCATAATTATAAATTATGTAAATTAAACAAATGTACCCAAACTTAATCAGCTATAACAGAATCTCTAATCTCTGTTCAAACTGTCATCTATTATTAGTGATGCACAATATCTGAATCATATTGGTATCGGCAGATAATGGTTCAAAATAAAATCAGTAGCATCAGGCAGCATGTTTAGATATGAATGATATCTGATTATGTACAGTATTGCGCAAATGTCAGTGACCACCCTTCATTTATGTAATTTTCAGTCAAAACCTTGCATTAGGAGGGGAAAGTCAAAGGAAAGTGAGTGGAAAAAAGTAGTTTCCAAAACTGGCATTGATTAAAATGATTCATAGATCCAAACAAACATGAGACTCCTAACAACTGTGCAAGACCTGGCAGACCACCAAAACTGTCACCATCAGATAAACAGTACTTAAAGCTTTCATCTTTTAGAGAGAGGAGAAATTAGAAAATCAAGCTTAATGCTATGGGTCTGAAAGGATGTGTAGCCGTTCAAAAGCCCATACTGAGAAAAGAAAATAGACGAAAAGCTGCTGGTGTTCTCAGAACAATGGACTGACCGGCCCACAGTCCAAACCTCAACATCACTGAATGCATTTGGGGTTACTTAGATTGTAAGAAGCAGAAACTGAAAATGAAACCAACTTCTAAGACTGAACTTTGGAGGTGTGGATAAATACTCCTGCAGATTTCTTTGAAAAACTGAAAGTGAGTCTCCTGAAGAGCATGGAAGCTGCAATAAAGGCAACATGTGGACACACTAAATACTGAATGATCTGATATTATATTCTGCTTTTTTCCCCTGACGCTAAAAAAAGGAAAAACTTAATGGCTGTTTTAACTGTCTAACTGTTGCACAGTAATGTATTTGTAGAAAATGTATTTTGGAAGAGCAGAATGTTTAGAACCCTACACATATAAGCATTGAATTTCTCTGTAATGCAGGCAGATTAAGTCTTCATTTCTACACATTCTAAATGTGTATGTATCAGCTTTGCCACTGAAAGACATGAATGTGAAAAACAGAATTCCATACTGCTGCATCCCCTGTTTATCATTGATGGCCTGACAGGAAGAGATGTGTACTTTTATTTTTCATCACCTTGCAAAAAACAAACGCACACTGACTTGGATCGTGTCGATATTTATGTGTCCAGTCATACAATTACTGTGGAGGTGCACCATGACAGCTTTATGGAAGTAGCACCCACATCACAGCTTGAACGAAAGCTTGAAGTAACTGGCTAATGTTATCTAAAGTGAGACTGACTCATATATATATCTGTATGTGTGGGAGGGTTTGTGACCGCTAGTGTCATTTGTAGTACCTTTATTTTGCCCAATCCCATTTCACTCTGTGCCCCTACCACTTAGCCCTTAGCATGCCGTTTTGTGCATTCACGTCTAGGAGTAGAGAGTCCCGATTTTTGAGATAGAGGGGTAGGGCGAAGTGTTTGGACTTCATGGCCCTCCAAACAGAGTTTTTTCAGAGGCACAATTCAAACGCAGTGTTATGAGTTTTTTTTTTCCTTTACAAATTACAACAACCATTGTATTATCTTAGTTTAATGTCATTTCTAAGTTTTATGGGCCTTTTCTTCATAACAAGCATTAAGAATTGCTAGTAGTTTGTTGTTGTCTCAGTAGCTAGCTAGCTAAATTTCCTGTTCTACTTTAAATGGCAGTCAGAACTGCTTCACCATTTAAGGTGAAGCAGAAAAATTCAAACAAGAAGATAATGAGTAGCTAACTTCAGCTTCATATTACCAAAGAATTAAACTAAGTTAAGTAATTAAACTAAAGCCCAGCAGCGAGGCTCAACTTTACCCTTCTCTGCTATCACTGCAGACTGGCAGGGTCGTCTACAGAGCACCACTAGTAGCCTGTTAATGAAGTAATGTTCTTCTTTATTTGACAGTTGTCCCAGTTGGTAGGGAAGATTTCAACCACTACTCCTTGTAACTCAGTTCCACTTGAAAACAAGGGGTAAGGGTAAAGACAAGAAATGGGATTGGGTTGAGTTTGAGATGATCTATGACTTTGAAGAACATGTGCATAACCTTTGATAAAGCTAATGTCCTTATCATAGTAGTAGTAATTCTTATTAGGTCCCTAAGCAAGAGCACGCACTCACTCACTCTTCACCTCATCTCACCTGTAATTAGAGAATGTTAAAAAGCAGCCAGCCCACCACAACAATGGACACGTGTTGGCCACTGGAAAAACAATTGTTTATAAAATCCATTTTGTACAACAGCTGTTTGAAGACAAACGAGGAGGACAGCAGTTTTCTTGCGTTACTGTAGAAACACAGTATAATACAGTTAACCAGGGAAGGGGGGCTTCGAGGGGCCACTGAGGGGCAGCAATGTCCCGGCCTGCGTCCAGCTGTGACCCATAGTCATTTGTGTGTGAACGCTACGCATCTTTCATAAGATAAACAGGAATTCATTTGAACTGCCGAGGGTTGTAGTGGATTCGACACCTTTCACTGAAAACCTGAGGAGAAACGAGAGAAAAACAAGGCTGTGAGGACTGAGGCATTCAGAGAAGGTAAGAACAGGACCAAGTTAACAGTTCACAAATCTAAATACACAGCACTTCAGCACTGTTACCTTCAAACTGCGGTCGTTCACGACTTCTTCAACGTTCAGCTCAGACTGCATGAGTTTTAGCTAAAGCAAACACAAAAAAAGGTTACTGAAAATTTCAAGAAATGGTTCAATTTCGATTTAACTCTTAGTACTGGAAACAATGAAACAATTCACACACACACACACACACACACCATCTAAACCGCTTATCCTTCGTCGCGGTGGGGTGCTGGAGCCTATCCCAGCTGTCACTGGGTGGAAGGCAGGATTCAATAACATACATTTAGTTTCTACATGAGACCAACTCTCACCTTAATTACAGTCATTTAGAATTGTCTTATTATTGGTACAACAAAAGTAATAAGAATACATTCAATTAAATCACTGCAAAATATTATTGGTTTTACTGCATTTAAAGGATCAAAATCAAATTCACACTATTTACCATTTACCCATGTACAGTCAATCAGCCGAGACACGTTTAGCGTCAAAACTTTGCCTTATTTTTGTTTAGCACAGCAGCCACATGGTTAACACTGCTAACAAACACAAAGTCAATTGTCACCCAAATTGTTTCAATTAATACAACCCCAAAACCTTTCTCAACCTGCTCAAACCTCTTCCAGGTCTTTGCTAAAGTTGCAAAGACTTGTCTATGTGTTTTACCTTATGACTTACTGTGAACTACAAAATGAACAAAACGTCACCATGTAGCTGGACAGTGCCATCAGCCATTGTAGACAATAGGTGTTGTGCCGAATCTGACTCCCCTTTACTTGCATGTGTCAAGCAAGCATAAGAGTGCTACACTGCATTCATGATGATGTTTTTATTTATAAGCTCAGAAAGTCAAGATTAACAGATATTTATTATTATTGTATTTATACCGCTAACCTAAAGAAAGAAAATTTGGACACGAAACATTTTTGCTGATCAACTACATCTGACATGAGTGGAAAATTGTGTAAATTAGATTTTTAGAACCATTCTTTTAAGGGTATATCACAATAAAAAAAAATACAAAAAGTTTTAATTATTAATTTGGTGTTTTGGGTAGTGTATGACTGAAGCTGAGAGTTTATATGTAGTCAATATTGTATTTTCTGTTTATTCTGTTCTAAGCAGCATTCAGAAATCTGCACTAAAACAGACCAAAAAGTTGAGGCTGCTGACAAGCACAAAGCCAAGAAGATTCACGTGTGTTAGAAAACAGAGTTAAGGGTCATAAGACACTATTATTATTAAATTACACAATGAACTATGATCCTTGCCTGGTCACTCAGATTTTCTCCCATCAAGCAAAACAGTTAGTTCTCGACTCATGAACTCTGGCTATCTTTAAGTGACCCTTAAAGTGAGTAAATACTGTACTTTTAGAATCTTATTTGACGTTCTCTGAGTTAGAAGTCTGCACTGTGACCTTTCCCCAGTTTAATGTGATGAAACATGATAGTTTAAAGTTTACTGCCCCTTAGTGGCATGTAAAGGCATTACCTTGGTTTGCTCTTTCCTGAGTTGCTTGATGATGGACAGGTTGTCAGTGTCCTTCGCCCTCTCTTCACGTAACTGCGCGACGGCAGCTGAGGTTTCTGTAATACATGCCTTTATTGCCTTGTCTCTACTGAGATGGGCCTCCAACAGCTGGCAAAACATGAACAATGCAAAAAATACAAGAATGTCACTCATGTAAGCAAACAGACAGTATCATATAAATCTGTCTAATGGAACGGTGTACGCACTTAAAATGACAGTTCTTAAAGGGTTCTCTAATAATGAAAATTGTTCTATACAGAACCATTAACATTCAAAGAATGTTATGTTGCATGATTAAAGGGTTCTTTGCATCGTGAGAGTGTTCTTCAGATTAATGGAGAATGTGCTGTAGATGGATCTATATAGAACCTTTTTGTAAGGCTTGATACAATAGAAAACCCTTTTCAAAAAGCTTCTATAAAGAACCATCTACAACACATACTCCATCAATCTGAAGATGTTCATGATGCAAAAAACCCTTTAATCATGCAAAGGGTTCTTTGAATGTTCATGGTTCTTTGCTAAAGAACCCTTGAAGAACCATCATTTTTAAGTACGTACAGTAACCATTTTAGCTTAATGAAACAAATTTAGGTAACACTGACAGACTCATAGAGCTCTTTGCAGGTCTGAGAAGCGTCCACTTTGCCTGAGAAGGATGCAGTGGGCACAGTGGTGTTGAGCGCATGGACAATCCGGTCGTCAATGGTGCGCATCGCTTTTAGCACCTCCTGCAAGACAGAAAGAGAAAGACACAAAGGATCATGCTGCTTTTTTATGACCATTATGAATAACAACACACAATACTAAACTTTTTTTTGGTGGCATTCTCACATTTCTATATTTGCCTTTCTGGTTTAATTTTTTCCTGACTCCTAACAGAGATTTCAAAGCCTGTAAAATAAAATTCCATATTTACAAAAGTCCATATTTAGAAAATGAGCTGCAAAAACAGCCCATTTCGAATTCATGCATTTTTTGATGTCACAAAAACCAACACATTTTTCACCTATTCAGCCTAGAGCAGTTTGGCTCCACCCATTCACACTGAAGATATAAGGCTCTTTCAATGAGGCACAATACAGGACAGCCTAAGAACAAAGCTCATTTACATGTAGGCATAACCTTGACTTTTTTTTTACCTTACTTTGTGTGCCTCAGAAATGTCTTCTTATTTTTAATTATGTCACTGTGCATCAGTGGGTGGAAAAAAGCAATATTAACCAATAAATCATCTTCCACCTTCCACTTGCATCAATCAGGGAGTGAAAACTAGCTCCAAGACCCTCTCTGATGGCATGCTTCACTCAGAAATATGTCAATATATTAAAGAAAAATACATTATAATTTCCAATTCACACTGACTTTAATTCTAAGGAATAAGAAGAGGTCAGAAAATTGTCATGTAAAAACAAATTGTGACTATTTTTTGCTACATAAAACCACACAAACGTCAAAAATGGACCACAGGAGGAAAAAATAAATTATGAAAAATGTAAGATATGAGCCCTTTAAAGACAAGTACACAGTGCCTTAGCATGGCTTACAATGGCCATCTATTACTTCAAGTACTTGTTTATTAGTCACGATTTCTATGTAAAAGCACAAAAATGTGCAAGCAAATGTAAATAGATCTAAAAAGTGAGGAGCTAGAAAGACAAGAAATGAGCAGCAGTCTGAATGTCTGAACTTCTCTCATATGCACACTGTAACTCAACCTGAATTTACCAGCTCACTGACTTTACATTCGTTCTGACAGCGCGGTCACGAACTCACACACGCGGCTCTGCGCTTTAGAGAGTGTGTTTGTCGTTTTCGGAGCAGTTTTTACTTTCTTCATTTTTTACCTGAAACATTGAAAAGTCCTCACAGTTCAGAGTCCCGCCGGGCGCAGCCATGCTGGACTGAGAGGTCCTCACAGAAAGCCTGTCCGTAAGTGCCCGAGTTATAATACCTATAAATGTAGACTGTTTCAGAGAAGCGTTGATTTTCTCTATGACTCGTGTGTTGATTAAGAAGACTGGAGTCATTACTGAATTCTGTATTAACAGAAACAGGAAAGTCGGAGTTTATTAAACCCAAAATGACATGTAATTCAGTATAAAAACAATACAAACACGCGCCTGAATATCTACTTAAGTTGTAATTGTACGTAAGTGTTAACAAAAGAATACATGTTATATACATTTGGTGCTTTTATTTTTGTGTTGAATGTTTTTAATGCTCTTATGTACTCGTGTGTTCTAAACGGGCGGTGTTTATGGACTCTTTATAGGGTACATTCAGTGCGAACAGTCGTTGCAAAGTGTTTTTGACTGAAAACCATTAAAGGTTAGTTGGTAAGACGGTTCTTCAAGGGTTCCTGTGTAAAGAGAATTGTTCTATTTTAAAACCATGAGTTCTATATAGATCCATTTCATGCTTAATTGGTTCTTTGCATGGTGAAATGGTTCTTCAGACTGATGGAGAATGTGTTGTAGCTTATAGGGTTCTATACAGAACCTTTTAGAAGACGGTTCTATATAGCACCAAAAAGGGTTCTGCTGTTGTTGCGATGTCAAGCTTATTACAATAGAAGAACCCTTTTTGGTGCTATATAGAACCGTTTTAATAGTGATATTTCTACAGCAGCACTTTATAAAATGCACGTTGTTCCCTTGGATTTGACTTAAGCTGTATCAAACTTAACGCTACTTTTAGGGGGATTTTCTACTGTATATCTACACCATTTAAATGTTTTTTTGGCGTTTTTGGTAGGCTTTTTAAATCTCAGCACACAAACCAGTCCTCTAATTTAGGCTTTCTCCTAACAGAGTTTTAAAAACCTGTTGTCAACAACTTAAACATTTGGCAGAACGCTCTCCTTCATAGCCTCGGGACAGCTGTATACAAATGTCTTGACAATCACAAGTGTCTGCATTTAGTATTGATGTAAATGTCTGAATGTCCAACACTGTTTTTAAATAAAAATGTTTCACAGACAATGTAAATATTGCTCAAATTCAGAAATGCACAATTCACTCCCAAATCCATACAGCCCATTTTTGGAAACTAAGCTGGAAAAACTGCATTTCCAGTTCTTTCATTTTGTGATATCACAAAAAACAACACATTTGCATATCCACCTATTCAGCCTGCAGCAGTTTAGCCCCGCCCACTCACGCTGAAGATATAAGGAGTGTTTCAGTCTGGGCTGCTTTTTAAATGAGGCACAATACAGGACAGCCATTAAGAGCAAAGCTCATTTACACATAGGCATAACCTTGATGTTTTATTCTTACCTTCATAGCGCACAGGAATTTAGTGAAACAAACTTTATTTTGAGAATGTGAAAACTTCACATTGTCGGCCGTGAAACAGCAGCAAAGGCAAAAATACTGAGACCTGACAGCTAGACAGCTATGAAAACATTTTAGTGAGGTTTTATTGACCCAAATGATCCAGTATATCTAGGAATAGCACGTAGGAAACTAGTGGTCGTTTCGAGACACGCTCAGGGTCTTGCACACGGTTACGAAAGGCTGCTTCTCAAAGGGAAAACATTGTATGTAAAGAAGAAACGCGGGAGGTAGTGAACGCTGCACTGGCACCAACACTGCCAGGCTGTGCTGTGGCTGGGTGACTTTCCCAAACCTTACAGCAGCTTTCTCATTTCTGTGCAGGTGTTTATGGATTAACAGTCAGATTGTCTTCTCCTACAGTTGTTATATCTTCACAAGACATGTTCTTTCAGGCAGTCGGCCGAAGTCGTACCGCTTTGGGTACGTTTGTTGGTGAGTACTGAGGTGCTTCGTATTAGTTTTGAGAACAGCTTTGCTTGTTAACTTTGTCAGATTAACGTTGCCTCTGCCAGCTACCGTTAACTTAATTTACAGCTCCAGGATTAAACTGTCTAACCTGAACATTATCATAGTAACAGGGACAGCATGATAGATATGAGAGATATGACAGATGCTTTTAGCTTCGAAAGTCAAGTTTAGGTTTGACAAAGCTGAAGTTGTTTTCATTTGCCAGTTGCTTATTGGAATTTTCCGTTCCACCTTAAATGGTTTAGGTGACATAACATGGCCGCGGTACCATTTTAAGGGACCAGAACGTATCAGCTGCACCTTTTAAGGTGGAACGGAAAATTCTCTTAAAAAAGCTGGCGAATAGGGGAGCCAACCTCAGCCTCGTTTCATTTTATAACATCAATAATACTCCCACTGCTGCGCTTTATACATGTTGCGTATGGTTTTATTGATAGTGATCGAGTGATTACATCCCGATTTCATGTGGTAAACAACCACACCTCCCTAAACGTATTTTCTCCATGCATTTATTTTCTTCATCATTGTATTTGTTGTGTGTTTTATATTGCTTTGCCACTCGCCTATGTTTGTATTGTGATTGTTGTTGTTGTTAAGGTCAAGGCCAAAATGACCATAGCCTCGCTTTTAGAGATAAATAAAGTAGCGTATTGCCATTTATGAGGCTCTTCAGGTCATACATTTGTCTTATATGATGCCTGTACGTGTACCTGTACCCAGCACAGTGTCCCAAATCATATACATCACTGTGACTCATCACAACCAACATAGTTCAACGCAGTTCATTCAACAAGTGTGAACTTGCAGAACATATGATCTTACTGATCTTACTGATTGCCTTGTTGCTAGATGTTAGTACAGCATAGTCATCCTAGACTGGCATTCTTCTGTAGACTTTTAATCGGTTTTATTCTGTATTTTTTGCGATTACAGTGGATGTGATATACACAGATCAACCATAACATTAAGGCCACCTCCTTGTTTTTACACTTGTTTTCCATTTTTCTCAGCTCCACTTACCATTGTAGTTCTACAATTACAGACTGTAGTCCATTGGTTTCTCTGCATACTTTGTTAGCCCACTTTCACCTTGCTCTTTAGTGATCAGGACCCCCACTGGACCACCACAGAGCAGGTATTATTTGGGTGGTGGATCATTCTCAGCGCTGCAGTGACACTGACATGGTGGTGGTGTGTTTGTGTGTTGTGCTGGTACGAGTGGATCAGAGTTTTTAAACACCTCAGTGTCACTGCGGTACTGAGAATAGTCCACCAACCATATCCAGCCGACGCCGTCTTGTGACCACTGATGAAGGACTAGAGATTGACCAACACAAACTGTGCAGAAACAGATGAGCTATCATCTCTGACTTTACATCTACAAGGTGGACCAACAAGTTAGGCGTGTTTATTAATAGAGTGCACAGTGAGTGGACACAGGTTGAGTTCAAAACTCCAGGAGCACCGCTGTGTCTGATCCACTTGTACCAGCACAACACACACTAACACGGCATCACCACGACAGTGTTACTACAGTGTTGAGAATGAGTGCAGTGCTGAAAGGGGGCTAACAAAGTATGCAGACAAACAGATGGACTACAGTCTGTAACTAGAACTACAAAGTGCACCTGTATGGTAAATGGAGCTGAGAAAATGGACAGTGAGTGTAGATAAAAGGTGGTGGCTGTAATGTTATGGCTGGCTTATCAGTGCATGATCTCACTGACTGCTTTGTAGGTAGACGTTAGTCCATCATAGTCATCATAGACTTGTGGACTTTTTCTTGGTTTTATTCTGTATTTATTGTGATTACAGTGGGTGTGATGTGTGTATATACAGTGAACGTATATATATATATATATATATATACATATAAATACATAAACTCTTCAGGCCATCATATATTGTCAGCGTTTTTTCTAATTGGGTTCTGTACTCCAGCGCACTGGATTATGAGGTCAAAGTGTAGAATGTCAGATTTGATTTAAGAGTTTTTATATCCGTACTGGATGATTCATACAGTAGTGACAGCCCTTTTTATACATAGTCCTCCATTTCATCACTGTAATTGGATGACTGGTGCTCATTTGTTTCATGTCTACCCATGCGTAATTGCATCATTAGATAAAGCATGAGAGCCAAAAAATGGTCCAGAGGTCATTTTAGGTGCAGCTTTGGCATTCGGCGCATGTTGCTGTTGTCTTCCAACATGAGGACCAAAGCAGGCCATTATGAGATGAAAAATTTGAATATAATAATGCTAAATACTTTACCTTACAGTCATTTTTTCATTTCATATCCAATAAGTTGGAGTACAGAGTCAAAGTCAAATCAATCACTGTATTGTATGTAAGTATATGATATTTGCATATTTGTAAGTTTACCTTTTAATTACGTTTAATGTTTTCATTAACATAATAACCAAAGTAGCCATCCGAATCTCCCCTTTAATGAATCAGTAGAGCATTACTGTCGCCATATATCATCACTGTTATTACAAAACCTTGTATCTGTGAAATAGTAGCTTTACAGAAAACTTATGAGGAGTTATGAGGTTTTGACATGACAGTGATGACATGAAGACGTGGGTAAGATAAACATGTTCTTCTCAAGATTTTTCCACTTGTACCCAGCACACAGTGTGCCAAAAATCACAGCATCACTGTGACTCATCAAAACTACGTTCAAATGCCATGTTGCGCAACGTTTAACGTCACTGTGTGAACTAGACACTATTGTCCACCATATAGAATGCCTCTTTCTGAGCTACAGGGCCTAATTGCTAGGTCTCGATGTCGGCCTGTACATTTAAGCTGTTTATTCTTTTGTTTCCCCTCTAGGGCAATGGCGGAGATACGCCCTGAACACAGCGAGCAGGAGGCAGCTGTGCAGTAAACCGCACGAGGGGGAATCTGTGCCGGCACATGGTTAGTACACTTAACTTATTAACAACTATACTTATACTTAACACTTATACTTAACAATTTCATTCGATTATATTAGCAATCAGAGTTTTAAGAAAAGGCCAAACACAAAAAACAGACTTAACAAATACTTACAGATACCAGTATGACTTCCCATAATCATCATGCATCCCTAATGCATAAGATTCCA